GAAGATGGAAGTTTTCCTACTCTGAAACTAGGAAGCTAATCAATTATGCATTTAAACATATTAGCAGGAAAACGCCTAATATTTTAACCACATTCAGGGATTTGTGTTGGTTCAGCTAATTAACGTCATCCTTGTGCCGGAAGTTCAGTCTGGTCCGCGTACGGTTATCCCTTAGTACTTAAACAAAAACTTTATTTAGTTAGAAATATTTTTCAAGTGTGACGCAGCTTTTGTTTGGGCCTGTAGGAATCAATTATTTTAATTACTGGAATAGTATTTGTCATGTTCTCGGACAATCATATTATATGTCACCCAGTACACGTGACAGCGGGTTGAAAGGCTCCTCTAGGAATTGGGTTAATTTGATTTCATGGATGAGAATTTTGTGAAGTAATAACAACAAACATGTTCGTCTTTAATTGACCCTAAATATACAGACATAGATACAAGTAAAAAGGCATTGTTTCCTATCCACGTGTGATGAGTTTTTTGTTATGATGAATGTGAAATGTTCCAAACTAAATCTCGTTTCGACGAACGTTGTTCCTGTCAGTAACTCTTGTTTGAAATGTATATTAATATTTACTGGTTTTATGTATTCCAGCAACATACGTACTCTCTTTAATTCAAATAGTCCCACGCTACAATCCGACGTTCGATTCCTTGCAGATATGGCCCATTATATATCTTTGAGCTAAAAAACAAAAACGTAATTCAAATAATTCTTAATAATGAGTACAGATAAAATTTTAAATGTAACAGGTTACGGACCTCAACCGAATTGTCCAGTACAATGATACAATGTCTGTGGACTTACAACGCTATAAACCAGGTTTCGATACCCGTGGTATGCAGAGCACAGATAGCCCATTGTGTAACTTTGTGCTTAAACTTAAAAAAAAAAAACAATGATAGAAACAGGAGATTAGAAATGGAGAGTATATTGAAACGTCTAACTTCTGAGCATTGGGTAATATCAAGTTTCTACTAGAAACAGGCTGAGATGTAGAACAGGTGATGCTAAGACCGAAATGTTCCAACCAGTTTCA